AAAAGAAAAAGGACGATAATACAAAATAGCATATCTTCAAATTGACTTTCATGATGTTATTGTCTACGATATATTTTGCCCACCCCTTGTTTTGATATGATTTTGGAGCGATGGGGAGGTTTAGATTTTTGTGTCATGATTTTGAACTTTTCTTCCCTCAGTAAAATGAGGCAAACATCACCATCGTCTCGTATTTTTGAGCTTTGATTTTAGACTGTTGGATTTAAGGGCTTGAAAATATATGCATTGAAAGTTTGAAAGGGATTTTTATATATGATATTGATAAACAGTGACTGATATTCACAGACAAAAATATTCAAGATATTTTTCCATAGTTAAAAATAGATGATCAGAGCGGCGCCAAAGCAGAGATTTTTGCATTAAAGTGTAGATTAAAAGAAAACCGAAGGAAACAAGTTGTGGACGACAAGGGACACTAAAATGCCCACAAAATCCTCCTTTATGAAAGCTGTATTTTCTCTGCCAGGGTCTCTGCCAGGTTCTCCCTCTGCCAGGTTCTCCCTCTGCCAGGTTCTCCCTCTGCCAGGTTCTCCCTCTGCCAGGTTCTCCCTCTGCCAGGTTCTCCCTCTGCCAGGTTCTCCCTCTGCCAGGTTCTCCCTCTGCCAGGTTCTCCCTCTGCCAGGTTCTCCCTCTGCCAGGTTCTCCCTCTGCCAGGTTCTCCCTCTGCCAGGTTCTCCCTCTGCCAGGTTCTCCCTCTGCCAGGTTCTCCCTCTGCCAGGTTCTCCCTCTGCCAGGTTCTCCCTCTGCCAGGTTCTCTCTCTGCCAGGTTCTCTCTCTGTCAGGTTCTCTCTCTGCCAGGTTCTCTCTCTGCCAGGTTCTCTCCCTGTCAGGTTCTCTCCCTGTCAGGTTCTCTCCCTGTCAGGTTCTCTCCCTGTCAGGTTCTCTCTGCCAGGTTCTCTCTCTGCCAGGTTCTCTCTCTGCCAGGTTCTCTCTCTGTCAGGTTCTCTCTCTGTCAGGTTCTCTCTCTGTCAGGTTCTCTCTGCCAGGTTCTCTCTCTGCCAGGTTCTCTCTCTGCCAGGTTCTCTCTCTGCCAGGTTCTCTCTCTGTCAGGTTCTCTCTCTGTCAGGTTCTCTCTCTGTCAGGTTCTCTCTCTGTCAGGTTCTCTGTCAGGTTCTCTCTCTGTCAGGTTCTCTCTCTGTCAGGTTCTCTCTCTGTCAGGTTCTCTCTCTGTCAGGTTCTCTCTCTGTCAGGTTCTCTCTCTGTCTGTCAGGTTCTCTCTCTGTCTGTCAGGTTCTCTCTCTGTCAGGTTCTCTCTCTCTGTCAGGTTCTCTCTCTGTCAGGTTCTCTCTCTGTCAGGTTCTCTCTCTGTCAGGTTCTCTCTCTGTCAGGTTCTCTCTCTGTCAGGTTCTCTCTCTGTCAGGTTCTCTCTCTGTCAGGTTCTCTCTCTGTCAGGTTCTCTCTCTGTCAGGTTCTCTCTCTGTCAGGTTCTCTCTCTGTCAGGTTCTCTCTCTGTCAGGTTCTCTCTCTGTCAGGTTCTCTGTCAGGTAAGGTCCATTGAGTTTTATCGCACATTTTTCTGGGTAGCCCAACCCTATCCAGATAGTATTAGAAAACCATAGGTGGGACTAAACTCCCTTTCAGGTAAAATTTATTTAGATTTTGTTAGTCATTTCTTTTTCTGTTTGAAAACACTGAACTTGTGCTTTTGATCATACGGTGTATAAGTTTGACAAAGTTGAAGTTAAGACTTTTGAAAGATATTCTAATTCGCAGTTTTGTGCGTCTATGTGTGTGTGTATGTGTGCGTGTGCGTGCGTGTGTGTCGTAGTAAGATCTGAAAAAGCAAATGTTGCAAACGTTGCTTTGACATTGACATACATTTTCCAGTTATTGCATCATGTCCTGTCACTGGCCAGACTGAAATACTCACTGATTAACACGCCAAATATGACAGTTTTTTTTATAATGTAACACTCTGTAGGAAGAAAGACTAAAAGACACTGTCTCACTCTTCATGAACTTATATCGACACAAAACAAACAAAAATCCTCTGACCTTCTTCAGCCTAGTGCCTTCACACTTACTGCTAATTTACACATCACGCGTTACAGCACGTACGCGTTATACGCGCAGCAGACGCGCGTAACTTTTTTCCATGTTAACCTATGATGATATTTACACTTCTAGCGTTATACGCGCGTATGACGGACATATGACGCGAAGCTGCGCTCTAATTTAAGATGGATTTCTAATTTTGTGCGCGCACCAACGCGTCTCCCATTGAAATCTCATGTAAAACATGATTTTTCTAGCGGCCCTTGGCTTTAGATCACATCTGCACGCACACTGCACTTGTGTCCAAACATCAGCAGGAGGAGCAGCAGGTTTTACAGTGATTCTGGACATCGTTTTTTTCCTTTCATAAAGTCTCACGTCTGGCCAAACCAGCGCACAGAGACCATGAAGACAAACACATGCATGTGATTTGTGTTGCTCTACATCAGTCCTCTGGCTCGTACTGTCCTCTGCACTGCTCCATTGACTACACAGGGAGAGCATCAGAAGACGCGGACCTGCGCGCACGGTCAGTGTAGATACTCCAAAAAAATGTTACGGGCAGAGAGCGCGCAGTAAACGCGTACGCGCTGTTTACGCCTACTGTGTAAATTCCCTGTTACACACCAGTCAGGAGAGTAGAAACACTCCATAATAATATAATACACTGCTCACAAAAACTTAGGGAACACTCAAAAAACACATCCTAGATGTCAATCAATTCGATTTTTTGGATGAATATCTTTATTCATAGTGAGTTGAGAACAAAATAACATAAGAATGATACATGAAAATCAAATTCTCAACCCCTGGAGGTCTGAATGCAAAATTATAGTCAAAATCAAAGTGACAAATGAGGTCACTGGTTGATCCAAATTCTGTAGAAATTCCTCAAAATGAGTCTTTATCATCCTCAGTAGTGTAGGTGGCCCTGAACAACTCCCTACAACTCCTGGTCATGTTCCTGATGAGACCTCGGAGGTCCTCCTGAGGGTCCTCCTGAGGGATCTCCTCCCAGACCTGGATTACAGGTCGTGGCATTGATGGATGGGCCGAGACATGATGTTCCAGATGTGGTCTATTGGGTTTAAGTCTGGGCCAGGCCAGGCCAGTCCAAAACATCAATGCCTTCATCATGCAGGAGCTGCTGACCCACTCTTGTCACATGTGGCCTGGCATTATCATGCATCAGAAGGAACCCAGGGCCCACAGCACCAGCATATGGTCTTACAATAGCTCTGAGGATCTCATCCCGGTACCCAATGCCAGTCAGGGAACCTCTGGCTAGCCCATGGAGCGCTGTGTGGCCCTCCAATGAAATGGCTCCGCAGACCATCACTGACCCACCACCAAACCGGTCATGCTGGATGATGTTGCAAGCAGCAGAACGTTCTCCAGGGCGTCCAGATGTGCTAAAGGTGAACCTGCTCTCATCCGTGAAGACCACAGGGCACCATTGGACAATCTGCCAATCGCTGTGTTCTCGGGCAAATGCCAAGCGGGCTGCACGTTGTTGGGCAGTAAGCACTGGCCCAACTCGTGGACGTCGGGCCCTCATTCTCCCCTCTTGGAGTCGGTTTCTGACTGTTTGAGTACCAACATGCACATTTGTGGCCCTCTGGAGGTCATTTTATAGGGCTCGGGCAGTGCTTCTCCTGTTTCTTTGTGCACAAATGAGCAGATAGCGGTCCTGCTGCTGGGTTGTTGACCTCAGTTGGCCCCCCCAGGTCTCCTGGTGTACTGGCCTGTCTCCTGGTATCTCCTCCATGCTCTGGACCCTGCGCTGGGAGACACAGCAAACCTTCTTGCCACAGCACGAATGAACGTGCCATTTTGGATGAGCATCACTCCCTGAGCAACTTCTGTGGGTTGTAGATGCCTCCTCATCACACCTCTAGTGGTGAGAACACTGGACAAATGCAAAAGTGTTCAAGAAATGTGGTACAAAGGATTAAGAAAGGGGAATGGTAATGGCAAAACCATTCCTCTTTTGGAGTGATCTTTCTAATTGCCTCTCATTTCCACCTGTTGTCTCTTTAATCAGGTGAAATTGATTCACAATAAGTGTGGCTTCCTAACTGGACATTCTGATATCCCAGAAATTTGACTGACTTGGAGTTACATTGTGTTTTCTGAGTGTGCCCTACATTTTTGTGAGCAGTGTATAATTAAAATACTAGAGAGAGACCAGAGAGACTGAAGAGAGACCAGAGACCAAAGAGACCAAAGAGAAAGCAAAGAGAGAAACCAGAGAGAGACCAAAGAAAAAACAAAGAGAGACCAGAGAGCCGAGAGAGACCAGAGAGAGACCAGAGAGAGACCAGCGATAGACCAGAGAGAGACCAGAGAGAGACCAGAGAGAGACCAAAGAAAAAACAAAGAGAGACCAGAGAGAGACCAGAGAGCCGAGAGAGACCAGAGAGAGACCAGCAATTGACCAGAAAGAGACCAGAGAGAGACCAGAGAGAGACAGTCATCTGAACTTATCCCCACGGTGCACACAAGCCACAAATATCTTCTTCTGACTATAAATAAAGGTAACTGTTCTGTTATACTAGAGGTTATATGATGTCGTATATGATGTGGTTGTACACACACGACACACACAAAAGGACGCACAATTGCACACACACAAATCAAGCGAAATAGCGAGGCCTTGAAACGTGTAAAAGTGAGAGAGAACAGCAGATCTTGTCATTATCTGGAGGCTCAAAAACCAAACTTGAGACAGTAGTTTTGCAATAACAGACAACACTTAAGAATTGCCCTCTGGATTTCGGTTTCACCCAGACACGCTTCGTACCAGAACCCAAGAGCTGGCAGTGAATTGATAAAGACGCATTGTAGAAGGCGCTGTAGAACAAGAGGCACTAATATGCTCCGTGCTGACCGGTGTAATGCGTTTACATCGGGGGAGGAGATAGCGGCGCATCAGGACAAGGTTAAACAGTCTCCGTGGTGTAAGGCTGACTGTGCAAACTCACATAACGCCCTTTGGTCTCGCTCGCCGCCTGCTGAAAAATGGGCTGCATCCTCTTGCACACGCCGCACCCTGCATCAAAACACAAACAAAATCGTTAAAATACACAGTATGTATGAGAATGTGAATAAGTTTGAGTTTTGCAGAGTTAGAAATGGCCATTGAGATGAATTGTGAGGATGTGGAGAGCAGCTCCAGTGGCAGACTTATCCACCATCGCTGTGTGAAGGAGAGGTTCCGCAGGTCCTTCCTTCCTGCCGCTGTCAGACTGTACAATGAGGACTGCTGAGCCTGGACGTGAACCATTTATCTGGTCTGATAAACCACTGGTCACTTTACCTACTGCTAATATTCCTATTGTTTATCCGGTCATTCTCTGTTGTAGTATTAAAGTAGTAGTAGTATTAAAGAAGTAGCTGTAGTAGTAGTAGTAGTCGTAGTTGTATTAAATATGTAGTAGTAGTAGTAGTAGTATTAAAGTAGTAGTCATAGTAGTAAAGTAGTAATAGTTAGAATAAAAGTAGCAGTAGTATTAAAGTAGTAGTAGTAGTATTAAAGATGTAGTAGTAGTAGTCGTAGTATTAAAGTAGTAGTAGTAGTAGTCGTAGTATTAAAGTAGTAGTAAGTAAGTAATCTAAGTAATCTTTTATTTATATACCGCCTTTTCACTACAGATCTGAGTCTCAAAGCAGTTTACAATTGTTAATTTTGGGCATTAGTCTCTCACTCCACACAGAGATGGGAGCGGGGCCAGTACAGGAGGCACATGCCAGAACTATTGGACATATTTTTAGTGGTAGGGGAAACCGGAGTACCCGGAGGAAACCTACGCAGACACGGGGAGAACATGCAAACTCCACTCAGAAAGGCCCTGGTCCGACCGGGATTTGAACCCAGGACCTTCTTGCTGAGAGGCGAGAGTGCACGGCACGGTGGCTGAGTGGTGGCTGAGTACTGGTGGGAGTGGTGGCTGAGTACTACGACTACTACTACTAGTAGTAGTAGTAGTAGTATTAAAGTAGTAGTAGTATATTTCTGTTATCATTATGAACATCAGATCTGAGGTCACATATGTCAGAACAAATCAAAACAAAGTGTATGTTAGCTGTTAGCTGTTAGCTGTTAGCTGTTAGCTGTTAGCTATTAGCTGTTAGCTGTTAGCTGTTAGCTATTAGCTGTTAGCTGTTAGCTGTTAGCTATTAGCTGTTAGCTATTAGCTGTTAGCTGTGAGTAAACCGTCACATCTGTCACATGTTGTTGGGCCCTGCCTATGAGTGAGTGCAGCTTCCAGGGAGTTCCCTTTCACTAAACACAATCTTTACAAATATGTTTATAACTTGTATGATTATGAAGTTTTGTAAATAAAGAATTACATTAAATTGAATGGATTGACTATTTATTGACACTATTGTACTAATGACTCTAAATCAGTCTTTAGCACTCAGCCATCTTTAACACAAACAGAACTGGACCAAAGTTATACATTTCATGACATTTCTCTTTGGGATGGAAACATTTGTATGTGCTTGAAGCATAGAGAACATTGGCAACTTTCTCGAAGCGTCTTGAGTGTCCAGAAAAGAGCGATATAAGTTTGATTTATTAATATTATCATTTTAACAGCGTTGGACCAAAACATCACAGAAACTAGTACCAACTAAAGAAAAACAATTGCCGCTTGTCAAATCCAAGACTAAGCAAGACTAGTAAGACTCATGGCTAAGAAAACTAGCCGTGAGTTTCAGTTTGTTGTTATTAAATTGTATTTCATATGATTAAGAAAATGAGCATTAATGTGCATTGTCAAATAAAAAATAAATAAAGTATGATGTATGGGTTTAACTTGTCAATTTAAGAGTATATTTAAATGTATATTTTGTAAATCTCTCCTTTGTTGTAAATGTATCGATTGTGAGACTTAGACATTATTGATCCACAAGTGTAATTGTCTTGTTACAGTAGCATGCATAGTTAAGTTAAAATAAAAATAACATTAAAGTAACAATCTGAAAATAATACTAATAATAATAAGATAATATTGTTATTTATAGAATAAATAAGAGTAACAAAGTTTATCTTATCTTCTTTTTTATTTTCTTCCATAGGGCACAGGTATTGTTCTGATATCAGCCAAAAGTTAATAACAAGTAGAAAAACCCCAAAAAACTAAAATATTGTGTGTAAAAAGTGAGGAATACTTCAAACGACTGCAATCAAAAAGTTTCTTAAAAAGCATAGTTAACCACTTTTTAAAAACACAATAAGATCCAGTGCTCATTGTAACTCAAGATGCTTTACGTATTTATTTCAAACCGTTAATTTCAAGGTCAGAACCATCCACAAATCCACCGGTGCAAATGGAGGTCACAGTAAAAGGTTGGGAACAATTTGGCGCTTTGGACAAAAATCCCCTTTTATGGCGTCATATATAACTTCTTCTTCACTGTTGTCCGCGGAGACCTCCCAGGCTCCGGAACATGTCTCTACATGAACACAACCCCCGTATGGATTTCCTGTCAGGCGTCAGGACACACTTTATCAATGCGGCCTCCGAAAGTGTACCGTCGCTGTCTGAGAGATGATATAGAAAACCGCTGACAAGAGCGCGACACTCGGTGAAAAATGGATATTGATTAGAGCGTGCGAGAGACATTTAAATCTCTACCATGCATTACACGGTGAGGTTTGTTTGGGCTGAAATCTTATATCAGAAGACAAGGTCAGAGCCGGAGAAACCTCGTCAGCAGAATCAGGAAATGACAAGGAGGAGTTAATTGGTTTGCATCATCGGCTGAGTCTGTAGATTCTGTGGTTCCTAGATCGACACACTCACTTCATGGATCTACAGCCTCACTTCATGGATCTACAGCCTCACTTCATGGATCTACAGCCTCACTTCATGGATCTACAGGCTCACTTCATGGATCTACAGGCTCACTTCCTGGACCTACAGGCTCACTTCCTGGACATACAGGCTCACTTCCTGGACCTAGAGGCTCACTTCCTGGACCTACAGACTCACTTCCTGGACCTACAGACTCACTTCCTGGATTTACCAAGCCCCGCCGATCCAAGATGGCGCCGTGTTCATATTAATGGTTTGTGCTCAGTGGCGCATGTGCCACCATGGGCGCCGAAAGAATGGTCCTCCCGGTTCTGCACAGTGGATGATCTCCCATGATGCGTTGCGCCAAATACGCGTGTGTGGGTCTCATGCACGTGCACAGAGGGGCTCAGCCGCGCTCTGACCAATCAGAGCTGCTGATCAGAGCGGGAACTAAACCAGCAGAGTTTGTGGCACTAAAGTGTGGATTTAAAGAAAACCGAAGGATTTAAGAAAAAAAGTTCAGGATGAGAAGGGACACTAAAATCCCCACAAAATCTGACCTTTATGAAAGCTGTAGGTTCTCTGTCAGGTTCTCTGTCAGCTGAGGTCGAGCGGTTTTAGTTTACGTTGAGTTCAATGGGGAAAATTTCTGGGTAGCCCACGTGAATTTAGTCTGGTTTAGTCTGCAGTACCGCGAGGATCCCCTGAGCACATGAGTTCTTCAGCTCCAAGCTAGTAATACCCTATCCAGTTAATATAAAAGATCAATGGGATCTACAGACTCAGTTCCACAGCCAACACTGGGAAAGGGTAATGGAATAGCATGTAGCATGGATAAACCAATTTCAACATTTTGTATTTACACGGCTTAGTTACTCCAAATTCAGCAAAAAAAAAACTCTTTGTGCTTTAAAACTTACACTTCATCTACTTTTAAACTCTCTCATTATTGTCCTTTTCTCTGGACGAGACACCACCAGCGAGCTCCTCTTTACACATGTGTCAGTCAACAAAAAATAAAACTAATTTGATTGAACTGGTCCAGGTTTGACAAGCAGAGAAACCATGACCGGACTGAGGGAACCAAGAAACCCTTTCAAACCCCAACAACACCCATCGGCAAAGCTATATTCTGCACTTTAAATCCTCCTTCATTTCTCAAATCCAGTTGGAACCGGGGAAATTTAACGAGGCATATTCAACGCTGGTGCCTGACAGAATACCAGAGTCCATATAAATAAATGAAAAAGCCGTACCCATTAGCGATATGTCCGTCTTTAATCACATAGCGTAGAGGTATGTTGAGGGTGTTGGATCAACAGAAAAGTCTAAAAGCATTGATTGTGAAAAAAACTGAAGCTGAGGCCAAGTGTGCATCGATCAGGACCGAGAGACCTTTGAAGCAAGTGCATCATGTATTTGTGGAAAACAATCATCGCTGCTTTGAGTCTCGTTGGATGAAAATGAGGGGTAGAAGAAGTTACTCACACGGAGCGTAGAACATCATGAGGATCGGCCGCTCTTCTTTCTTCAACAGCTTTCTGAACTCCTGAAAAAGAAAACAACGGGAGATCTTTTGGTGGAATTTAAATTGTAAAAAGCTTAGACCAAAAACCGTGGCATTGAACCAGGACCGCGGCTAAAGTCATTCATTATTGAGAAGACACTGTGCATTCTGTGTGGTGTGCCAAAGCCAGATCCCGTCAAACCTCTGAAGATAAGCAGGATCGGGCCAGGTTATTACTGTGATGGGAGACAACCGGGAACAAAAGTGCAGCGTTCAGACCAGATCATGCGTTGCGGCGACTTTTAATGCAAAGTCGATGCTGACGCGTGTTCGAGCGTGAAACTGCATGTGCGTCTGGGGATGCACGGACTGAGCGGTAGAGACTGCATGGAAGAGGGGCAGCAGCTGTAAAGACACTTCACCCCCGTTGCATTGGTGTGTGCGTGAAGCGTTGGTGGTAGTCAGAGGGGCCAGTTTGCCCCAGGGCAGCTGTGGCTACACTAAAAGTTTAGTACCAGTTTATCACCAATAAAAGGCTGTATAAAAACAAAAGCAATATTATCAGTTATACAACATTGAGTATACGTTGCATAAAAACAAAATATAAGGTACTAAAAATGCTTGAATGCAGTGTTTAAGTTGAAAGTCTAAAAAAACCGATTTTCTAATGTCTTGTTTTAAAATGTAAATTCAAGAAACGGTTTCCTTGGAATGAGAAAAAGAATAGAAAATGAAAAGGAGAAAGAGCGAGGCCATGAAAGGTGATCCGTGTTATAGTCAGGGACCACTGAATCTGTTTTTCTAATTCCCTCTGATTTGCGATTCATTTCTTCTCTCACTCGGTGCGTAAGAACTTTCACCTCTTCACTTGTTATGAACCGTTTTAAATCCTGAGCCTCGACTCCATATACATACGACTGTTTTATCGCTGGCATAAGGGGATTAGAGTTTATTTTATATTTCCAAAGCAATCAAATTCACAATCCTACTATGTGCATTTTCAGCAGTTTGCAGAAGATCTCACGTCAGCAAAGAAAACCACCTCTATCCCTTTGTCAGAACATACACATGCTACTAAACCGGCTTTACCGTCAGGAAGTATGCACTCAGCAAAGAACTGTTGCCACTTCAAACACGCTCTGGTCCATGTGTTGCACAAGGAGGAGGTGGTGAGGACTGTGGATGTTTTTGTTGAAGTAACAATAGAATATTCTGTTTCCATATGGTCTTAATGTGTATGGAAGATGAAAGCATGACATTTTTATTAGCTTAGCAGTTATCGAGGGTTTCTTAGCCGTGCTTTTGTCTCCAGTAGGTTCGACTTCTGTAATGACTGCTGACTTGTCTCTCCAAAATGAAATCTAAAACAGCTGCAGTAAATTCAAAACTCAGCAGCGAGAGTCCTGACTAGAACCAGGAAGTACCATCACATTAGTCCTGACTAGAACCAGGAAGTACCATCACATTAGACCTGACTAGAACCAGGAAGTACCATCACATTAGTCCTGACTAGAACCAGGAAGTACCATCACATTAGTCCTGGTCTCGGGTCTCTACTTCCTGTGGCTCAGAGAATAGACTTTAAAGCAGATCTGTTCAAGTCTCTCTATGTCCTCGCATTAAAGTACATCTGAGACATGCTAGTGCTATATGAACCAACTCTGAGGAGCACAGGGACTGGCCGCCTCCTGCTGGGACTCTGGGGAGCACAGGGACTGGCCGCCTCCTGCTGGGACTCTGGGGAGCACAGGGACTGCCCTCTTGCTGGTCTCAGAGTCAGGATTAAACATGAGGGGGCAGGATTTCAGATTTATGCAGCTAAAATCTGGAACAGTCTTCCTGTAAATGTGAGACAGACTTCTTCTGACAAAATTCAAGTCCAGGTGAAAAACAGAAGGATTTTACCTCCACTCTTTTTAATGTACTGTGTTTAATTATGACTTTAGTTTCTTGTGTTATCTTACTATTGTTTAGTTCAGCACTTGGAGTTGCCTTGTGTATGAACTGTGCTATACATACAAACTTGTCTTGCCTTTGAAAAAATGAATTGATTTGAGCCAATTTAAGGCCTACAGAAAGACTATGGCTTTGTGTTGTAAGTGTGTGACTCATGTTTCCTGACAGCAGAGAGGAGAGAGGAGTGGAGAGAGGAGTGGAGAGGTGATCGCCGGCTTGGCCCCTTCACCTGCTCCATACAGGACTTTGAGGGGAGCGATAGGATGTGGAGCTTTCATGTTTACAGTGATGGGTTCAGGTGGAGCCCGAGGTCTCGCTGTGAGAGCGTCTGCATCTGATCAAACGCCTCCGACAGACAGGCACCATCCAGGCTTAAAATATTAAAACTATACCGTCTTTTATGTATAGACGCCACACATGTCTTAGCCGTTTTATCATGCTTGAAGAAACCTATTTATATATCTATCAATTCAATATTGTCATTCACAGACCAAAAACTCCGGTCCCTGTGCTCCTCAGAGTCCGGGTTGGTTCATATGGCAATATTATTCTCTGTTTGCAGTTAAAAAAACACATTGTGCACTAGAGACAGCAACAAAACTAATGACAGAATTACACTTTTCCTCTTTTCTTAATCTAAAAGTATTGGTCCCTCAAAAAAGAAAGTTGTTTTTCCATTCATCCACACAAATATCCCCTCAATCTCCCCCTTCCTCCCCTCCCAGAACCCTCTGTGTTGAACATTGCTGAATAATGGCAAGGATTAGGGTTAGTTTTTTTTTCTTGCCTTTTTCATGAATTTTTTCAGGTATGTTTTGATTATACTTTTTCTTGTCTTCTTTCTTTTTCTTTCTTTCTTTCTTATTATTTGATTGGGACAGTAGATGTTAATGAACACATCACTCCGGATTGTAGCCTTTTGACTAATTTCCATCCGTCGTCCCACAGTCGCACTCACACCCACACGCTCTGGAGAGCAGCTTCAGTGACACACTAATTCACCCTCGCTGTGTGAAAGAGAGGTTCCGTAGGTCTTTCCTTCCTGCTGCTGTCAGACTGTACAATAAGAACTGCTGAGCCTGTAAATGTCATTAATCTGTAATTAAGTAAATTCTTAAATCATGTGCAATGTGCAATACTGCAACTTCAGGATGTCACAGAACAATGTCACTTTACCTCATGTCACTTTACTTATATACTTTTTATCCTGCACTATTTAACTGTACAGTATATAACTGCACTACTACATATGTTTTTTTGACTGGTATTGAAGCTTTTTCAGCATCTACAGCTAGTTATGTTAGTTAAGAAACATAGCTACTACTTATTTGTATATAGTGTATATATTGTGTGTGATCCCTGTGTGCTCTTACTACTGTCCTATATGTGCGATGCAACATTTCCCCACTGTGGGACGAATAAAGGAATTCTTATCTTATCTACACTCATTCACACTGAACAATTATAGACATTTTTAGTTACAGGGGAAACCGGAGCGCCTGGAGGAAACCTACGCAGACACGGGGAGAACATGTAAACTCCACTCAAAACGGCCCTGTTCCAACCGGGATTCGAACCCAGACCCTTCTTGCTGAGAAGATAGGAAACCACTCAGCTGCGGCCCGTGTCGCAGCTGAAATTTGGTTTTGCTGCTAATTTAGGGTCTGAGTTTGCATTCTGACACATTTTACAACATTTCCAGTAACCAATATATAATAATAGATAAAAGAAACTGAAGTTCGAAGACATTTAATTGTTGTTTCCTCTCATTATTCAACAAAGTTTCAATAGTTTGATTTGTCGTGTTATATTTGTGTAGTTATAAAGTCTGATTGTAACCAGGACTTTGCCTTGGGACATTTGTTAACATCTCTGGACAGTCTTCAGCCCTCTCCCTACGGCCTTTCCTGTGTTAGCGTTACGGTGTTAGAGGATCAGAAGTGTCTTCGCTGGATCAAGTCTGGATGTTACTATTCTACTTTCTTTTTGTTCTTCTCAGCCTTTTTTCTGCATAATTTATGTCACTCTAACAGAATATATAAATCTAAAACTGTGCATTTAGCGGCAAGTGTTCTGTAGTTTCTGTTGAATTGCCAAACTGTATACAATTGTCAAAACCCAATAAACATAATGTAAAAAAAAAAAAAATATTAGGGGTGTAACGATACGATCTATTTAATCGATTTATCATTTTAGACACTTAGGTGGTGCTGTAAAACATTTGTTAAGCACTGCATTGTTATACATCTGTTTTATTATTTTTATTCATGCGAGTTATTTATAAGTTAGCTCTTGGGTAAAATACATGTTTTTGTTAAATTTGTAAAAAAGTTTTATTGTTCAGCAGTTTAAATCTGAGTTAGATTTCTAAGTTTGAATTACTGTAATAAGTTTATTTACAGAAAAAGCCAATATTACTGTATCGATATATCGTTAAAAATCTACTGTATCGAATCGTTTTAAAAATGAAGATATCCTTTTTTATCGAAATCGTTTGCCCTCATATCGAGACGGATCGTATCGTTCTAAAAACTTATCGTTACAGCCCTAATAATAATAAAAATTCCCCACTTTGGGACGAAAAACGCTTCTCTTGATTGATCTCTTGATTCTCTCATCTGTCGTTGGTGAATCAACGACTGGGATTTAGGACTGAACACAACTCACCTTTTCGGTTTCGATGTGAACGATGTCTTTTGCTTCTGGGTTCTCTTCCCACAGCGGCGGTCCGGACGGGTCTTTGAGGAACGCCACCATCGACTGCGAGAAAAATAAACGGTTTACGATAATAACAGTCATTATCGTTCTGCTGTTTCAAGGATGGACAAACTATTGAGGATTAAAGCCGACGAATCAACCGAAAAGCGTTTGATTCTCTCCACAATTATGAATTCTCCAGTATCCATCTTTTCTTAATGCTCCAGATGTTTTCTACAGAAGACATTACTTCACATTCTCAACAGTAAATAATCATTATATGTCTTCTTTGTGGCAAGAGCTCTGGTGTGTATTATCTGGTGCACACTGCGGGAGTCTTGCACAGTTTTTCCAATGTGGTTTTACTGCAAAGGGCAAATTTAATCTTGAATTCTTTAAAATGAGATACATGCCCTGGTGGCGTATGGGAAGAGGTTGGAACCCAAAGGCGATATTACAGACGCATAAAATATCAATCAGTCAACTTATATTTGTAGAGCACTTTTCCTACACAAGGCAAACCATATCACCTCAAACGTCAAAATCTATAAGATCATAAAAACACACACACAATAATAAAACCCTAAAAAATAAGATCACACAAGCCCACAGGAGTCTAGCTTTTTCAGTGGAGGATTCAGGCAAAGTGGGGTTAAGTGTCTTGCCCAGGGACACGACGACAGCAGAAATCAGTGGGAGTCGTGAAGTAGGTCTTGTGATGGGCTCAAACCTATGACCTTCAGGCCCAAAGGCTCAATGCTCTGCCAACTGAGCAACTGTCGCTCAAAGATAAAATCCTTCAGATAATATCAACAGAGCACCAGTGTTGGAGGACTGGGCGTCACTCAAACGGAGAGACTGTCGCACTGAGACTGGATCATAACAAGACCAGAGGAATATTGGGAATGTTGGACACATTTTAGCCGCTCTCAAGGAAACCTCCCTTTAGCAGCTCCTCAACTGTTCTAGTGATTTTTGTTTCATTATGTTAAAAGAACTAGGGATGTAAATCGGCGACCGGTTAACCGGTGGTTGACCGTCACAGCGTTAACCGGTCAAAGCTGTCGGTTAAAAAAGAGAAAAAGGGGAGAGGGGAGGTCTCTTAATAACGCTATTTTAAGCCCTATTTGCACGGTGTGACGAGCGGGTCTGTATCTAGCTGTGTGCGCCCATGTATTATAAACTCCGGGACGACTCTCACGCCGCACGAGCCACATATGCACACACGCGCGCACACACACACACACGCACACGCGCGCACACACACACACACACACACGTTCCCCCTCTCCATACGTAACATCCACACGCATCATCTCTCCCCTCTGTTACCGTCAAAGTTGCACACTGGCGCGGGTCACAACTACATTGGAGCTTAAATTTACACACACACACACACACACACACATACACACACACATACACACACACATACCGGTCTGTCGCGGAGCCCAAAGGATTCGCGCAAATACGCGGCTCCAGTCAAACCACATGCAACATGTTTGTGTTTATGGTCCTCGGGATCAGCTCCACACACATCACTTGTATTTAAACTTTTGTGAAGACCTGTGAGACGCGGCTCGTCACTCGCTGCTCTGACCATGTGAACGAGCCGTCGTTTGCTGCTAGAAAGTGTTGGTATTAACCCGCAGCACAGCAGAATGGGAAGATTAAAAAAGCAGTTCTTTGTGCGCAAAGGTGCCGGAGCTGTTGCGGGTTTGGGCGCCGCTGTCTCAACTCTGATCCAGTAGAACGCAGAGCTGCACTTATGAGAAGTACGCGGCTCGAAATGGCTGTTATTTCAAAGAACGTGGACTATTTTAAACTACGCGGTTAACCGGTTTCAACCGGTTAATGAGGCTCGGTGGTCGGTCATGAAAATTCATAGTTTTTTACATCCCTAAAAAGAACCAAAAAAAGCTTGTATACAAATGTACAAGAGACACATGTAATGTTGTGTAAGTTGTTGCTGAAAGAACTGCCGAAAGAACCAAAAAGAATAAATATATAAATAAAGAAAAACGACACTGACGGGCTGATATATCCATCTTTAAAGGAGCAGTATGTACAAATGTGGCCAAAAGTGGTACTGCAGCCTCTCCCTCTCTCCCTGACTGAGGTTGCCAGATATGCAGACGAATCCAGCTGGGACCATAACAGCTGAATAGACAAGAGTTTTGTCAACAACAAATCTATAACCAACACCTTTTTCACAAAGAAAGGAATCCTGGTTTTATTTCTTGTTTGGTTATTATTTATTTGAGAATCATAACGAGACCTTTTTTTAGTTCTGCGTAGGGCTGGGCGATATGGCAAAAAAGTAAAATCTCGATTTTATTTCCTGCTTTGGACGATTTCAATTTTAAATCGATTTTCATTAAAGTCACTCATGACAAACTTTGTCCTTAAAATATTTTATCTTCCCGCTCAATATTCAAGTTTCAAAACTATTTTTAATTTGTTTCCCCCAATACGCATTATAAAAGTCTTGTGCAAACTGTGCTAATATTGAAAGTATAATTCTTGTGCTGCTGGAACTCTCACAATATTCCTCATTCGATTTCACAATTTTCACATTTTTCACAAATTCGATTTTTTCAAAAGCCGATTAATTGCCTAAATTCGATTTATTGCCCAGCCCTAGTTCTGCGCCACATCACAGACTTTCTGATTGGTAAAACCGTGGAGGGCTGGACATCAAATGAAACGATAATATTTAGGGGCTGTAAAACTAATTTTGAAATCCGAATATCTGTGAACTACTGTTATCAGTTAAAGAAGTATTAGAAAAGAGCAAGTTTTATTAATGCCTTTTGAAATATTGAGACCCTTTAATGATGATTTGACATGAAAATCGTACATATTGCTTCTTTAACCAACACACGCATGACCTGCATCTTAACCTTCATTTCATGCCTGGTTAAACCCTAATGGAGGCAACACAATGCAGCTCTTTCCAAACCGTTAATCAGAGAAAGCTTTGGTTTTAATAAAAGCTAGAAAAAGCAGGAGTGTTTTTTAAGGTAAACCAACAACCACTGAATTATGACAGTACATTTGATTTGTGAATGTACTGCCCGTTTGTTGCGCAAGAAGTGCTATCTCATTTGAATGTTGACAGTTTTTATGCTGCAGAATATATTCAAGGCGGATTGAGTGTCGGTCGGTCAATATTGAGAGATTGAATTTGGTTAAGACAGGTTTTCATAGACGGGCAGACCAACAATCAAAACGATCTCATATCAAAGTGTAAGTTGGTTGTATCTGGTTTTGTTTCACTTCCAGACATATTAGACCAAGTTTATACACAGTTATACACAACCATGAATTGTTGGGTCCACAGGTTAACAGGGACAGGACCCCATGATGTACCCATTAGCCTGTGCCCATGATCTATAGCCTGTCCATACATGGGAGCAGATCCCTTCCCTTTCTCAATATGGGCCTCCATGAGTTTTCTCTTATTTTTTTTCTCCACTGTTTTAAGATTCGTTCCTTGTCCTGCTCCATCTCTGCTGCTGTGACCTGATTATTGTTGGCTTTTTGGAATAATCAATTTTTTTTTTTTTTACTGCTACTGAACACCTGAATTCCTCCTACAGGGATCAATAAAGTGTCTCTCTTGTCGATGCAGAAGAGTCTAAGGACAGTGATGATCCAGGGCGTACGTATATTTAGAGTTATAAACATTTCTGGACAGTGGTCCTCCTTCTCTCTATGAACCAATAGATCCTGTGTGTTTGTTATCTTTACATTTAGTGTGATTGAACGGTTTGATTCTCTCCGTTTTTGCCGAATCGACAACTTGGTAAAGACCTCTACTGTTGTGATTTCGGGCTATACAAAAATATATTGACTCGAATAGAAAACAAATCATATTCACCAACCTTTGGGATCTAAACCAATAATCAATTATTTTAAAAAGGCCTAGTTGAGAGCTGATCCCAGGAGTGTTTATCCCTTAATCATTCTCGCTGTGTTTAAGGTGAGGTTTCGCAGATCCTTCCTCCCTGCTGCTGTCAGAATGTATAACGAGAACTGCTGAGTCTGTACAAGTGGGACTGATAACACAAGTTGACAGCCAAAAAATGGTCAGGGGTTTCTCAACTGATTTAGACTAATGTTGGTGTTCTGAGTCAGAATATCACATGCATTTTGCTCTATCAGGTCAACTTTTTGAGATACAGCCATAGTGTTACAGATTGTGTACGTCTACGTTATTATGAATTCTGCTTATCAAATTTGATGGAGTAAATAAAAACTGATGACTTTGGATACGTTGACTTTTATTTCTTGAGGAAAACAAAAAAAACGTCAAGGGTTTCTCAGCTGATGATCCGCAGAAATGTGTTTTTTACGCAAAATCGATAAAAAAAATATTTCTGTAGCAAAAAATCCTGACCTGATTGAGCAAAACCAAGGTCATTTTCGGACTCACAGCATCAAAATTAGTCTAATTCAGCTGGAAAACCCTGGACTATTTTCAAAACATATTTTTTTGTTACCCAGTGTTATAATTCACTCGTCACTTATAGTCACTTTACCTGTTATTATTATTACTGCATAATTACATATCCGTTCATCTGATATCTGTATTCACTAGTCACTTCACCTTACCATTGTTTATTCTGCTCCTTTTCTCCACAAATCTGTAAATACCTCCAAACCAAGTGCAATTATAGCTCCAGATTTTATTTTATTTTGATTATATTTGACTTACGACTTACCTTCTTTTGGTTTTGAATAATCCCTGTAAGACTGAGATTTACTGAGAGCTTACACAAACTTATTACTTACTGTTATTTCAATTCTATCACCTATTGTCTTAAATAGACTCTTTGATGTGTGCAATCTGAGTGCTCTTATTTTCTTCTTTCTCTTCTGTAATGTGCGACAATGACACTGAAATTTCTGTTTGAAACCACAGTTGTGCTAATGGCAATGAAAAAACCCACTCTTGTTCGAACGGTTTGTGTTTTTATACTTGTGATAGAAGTGTTTTGAAACCTACTCCACTCATTACAACACTTAACCGTGCTTTGGATTGGAGTGCGGCAAAGATCTCACGTTTCTCGATATTAGTAATTCAAAGTCAGTGCTGTGTGCCACGTCGTCTGGAGCCTTCATTAAGAGCATTATCATTCTTTCAGGCTGTAATAAGTCGACACGGTGCTGATTTATCCGTCCGATCCTTCTCCTCTGGGACTCTTGGCTCATTTTTATTTGACAGCTGTGATTTTATGATTCTGTTTGTTATTTTTCGCCCATAAGTCTTTCCCCGCAACGATGGCTCCGCTTCAAATGGCCCTAAAACTCCAGCGTGGATTCGTCAAAGTGCCTTGATAACTCTGCTATGATCATAACGGTTTATTTCCTTTTGCATTGGTGCGATGATGTACGCCTTACTGAAATCCATCCCGCTGGTTCCCCCCCCCATCTAACATATGGTCCGTTATATTTACAATGCGAACACTTAGGAAGCACTCGAAGAACGGGGAGACGCTTTGACGCTTCTTGAAAGGAGCGGACAGGCTGCTGTTTTGTGTTGCTCCATCTGGCAAAACCTGCGGCGCTCGCAACTAAATTTAGGGTGAAAAATGTTATCACTGCAGGTCAAGCGCGGTGCTTTTGACTTGCACGGCTCCTACAGTGAAGTCTTTGCTTTTTATTTCAGGTAGAATCAGATCTAATCCATGACTGAGTTGGCACGAGAGGAGAGAGACCAGGAAACTTGCGTCGCACAAATGTTAAAATCCTCAGAGGAAGACGCATGTAAACTAGATTGAGGGGTGAAAATGTGGTCATGGCCCAGTCGGTAGCTTTTTCAACAACAGCAGTCGTCTCAGAGGACTTTACACATATGTCGATACCCCAGGAACAGATCAGAGAATCAAACAGCCTGAAATGCAGTGCTCTGTCTGGTCCGACCCGCCTGGAGCTGCCTCAGTCCTGCTCCGCACCTGTCCTCGTTCTACAACCGCTGCGTGGCCTTGGTCCTCGTTCAACAGCCTGAGTCCTGGATCTTTAGCCCGTCTGTCCGTGTGGAGCAGATCTCACTCTCAATGTGGGTCTCCCCGAGGTTTCTCACTTTGCTCCCACTGGGTTTTAGAGTTTTTTCTCTGATGCAGGAGTCTTTTGGACTGTGGCGATGATCCAGGACACTTAAACATTCTACAACATGTATGACATTTATTGTGCGCTCTGCAGAGGAAGTGATCGGCCGCAGCCTTCCATCGCTGCAGGACCTGTACGTCGCCCGAGCTCGAGGCTGGGCTGGTTGTATCACAGCCGACCCCTCTCACCCTGCACATGGACTATTCCAACTACTCCCCTCAGACAGGAGGCTGCGGTCCATCAGGACCAGAACCTCCCGCCACAAGAACAGTTTCTTCCCCTCTGCTGTTGGACTCTTGAACACTTCTTAACCTGTCCCCCCGCCCTTTATAAAGTCACTTTACTGCCCATCATACGTCACTTTACTTCACTGTACTGCTGTCACCTTACATTGTGTGCACCATGTGCACTTGTATATTGTTAATAGTAACTGTAACTCTATTTTAAATTTAAATGTATTCCTTAGAAGTGTTTTTTATTCTATATTTTTATTATCTCTTTCTGACTGTTGCACTGAGCCAAAGCAAGTCTGTGACTTCCTGTTACTTATGTGGCAATAACAATGATTCTGATTCTGATTTATCAACTCCCTATGGACCAATAACTATGAACTATATTATCTGATTCTCTTCTCTGTGTTGGCAAACTCAATAGTTTTGTAGAGTCCTTTGAATACTGTCGTGATTTAAGGCGATACAAGAAAAATTGAAATGGAGTTGAACTGAATTGCAATACAATAACAACAAACTCAAAGCAGCAATTGGTGCATAAGAAGTGGGATGACCTCTGTTCATGAATGATCATAAATGTCCCAGACCTTCACTGTCCTTAGACACTTCTGCATCGACAAGAAACAATATCGATGGAAGACTAGCAGCTGCATTTAGTTAGAGATGTTATACTTGCTTCTTTATTATGCTAGTTAGTTAGATATTTTATTTTACTTTAGTAGAGAGTTATTCTTCACTTATCTTGTGCTGCTCATTCCTAACCGTAATTCTTAATGTTTTGGACCTGTACTTAGGGCAAATGGGACAATGTGGAAGTTGTAAGAAACAAAAATACCTCTTAATCTTTAGTGACGTTCAAAATAAACGTCGTCAGAATTGTGTGTATACTTTATGTTAATGACAGTAAAGTCAAGTTTGAGTAACAAGCCACTTTTGAAGTCCCCCCTCTGCTCGATAGAATACAGCGCCTCTCATGTAGACTGGGACCAGAGGGGTCGGACCAGTTCGGGGCCAAAGTCAATGCATCAGACTGTAGTGGAGGGCCCTCATCTGTCATTGCTGAAAAACCCACAGTAAAGGACATGTCTGATAATAATAATAATGCTTTGTTTTCCCGTATCTACTGTTGATTGTTATGATTTTGAATTATTATGTTTTATTGGCTTATTTATTGCTATGCAAAAAAATATTATATTATTTATTGCTACATAAAGCACTAAAACGCAGCCACTAGTCTTGCCTAAGTAAATATTGCTTCACGTTGTCGCATTCGGCACACCTCACCATAAAGTTATGCCTCCATCAGTCTGTGAAATGTCCTATTATCCATCTAAACCCGGTCAGAATGCAACCGTAACCAACATCGAAGTCCTGCTCCTCACCTTGGAAGTGGCCGGTCTGTTGTACTCGGTGTGAAATGTTCCATCTCTGAAACACACAGGAGTTTAACACAATTAGCTTCATCGCAAAATAACGTCAGGTAAAGCATTGCTCCTGTAAGGAAATTAGCATGAATAACAAAAGACGAGAAACCAAACTTGTTTTCTTCTTCCCTCTCCTTTCTGAGCCAAAATCTTTTCTTCCCCCCCATAAATACTGTATAAACAAGTTGTACAGACCCTCCCTGTACCTTTTTGTTTTGTTTTGTGCTTCATTTGTTGCTCATGTAAGTGGGTACAGTGCTTTCTGTATGGCTCAGAATGTTTTTGTAAGAATTTTGCATGGCTCAAATATAAAGTATTCAAATCAATACTTTAGGTCAATAATCGTGTTAACAGAACAAACTCTATTCTTAAATACAGTTGTATTAAATAAGTAGGATGCATACACTACCCACAACATAGAGAAGAATGTTGTTAAATGCCAAATATTCAAGTGACGACCGGTGTACTAGACAAGATAGGTATGCTAAATGCTATGCTAATAAATGCTAATGCTATATCACTTTGCATTAGAGACGGGCGACATTAAAAGTACAACTACCTATGTTCAAATCTCAGTATTATATCATCAAATAGGTATTCTACTTGGCTGTTTATACGGGCACTGCGATCTTAAGCCTTTTCTAACAACTTTAACACCATGTCCAATAATAATTTCAGTACATTTTAAACCAATTATCAGTAGATTACTTCAAAGCATTGTAATCGTACTCACTTGTAATGCAGCATCTCGAAGCCCGCAAATTTGGATCCAGGGTCCACCTTCACTTTCTTACAGAGTTTGCGGCCTTCAGAGTCCCTAAGAACACAAACACACCACGTTAATTCAAGCTTCTGAAATGAATATTAAGCAATAGTGTCAGCAAAACCCCTTATTCCCTCAGATAATAACTGTGCATATTTAATCAAAAACAATTTAAAGAAACTATACATTATTTATTTACTAATGAGTTCATACAAATGTGTATTACTACATACAAGTATCAAAACCCGTAATTTTTTTGAAAACTTGAGCTCATTGATTCAGCTGTGTATGAATTCAGGCCGTAAAAAGTGCTGAGTAGAGACTTTAGCGTGACGCCTGCTCTCCTCCACAAGGGAAAGCACGGTTACAAACAGGCCACGCCTCCTCTAGGCCACGCCTCCTCTAGCGTCTGCAGCGCAGGTAAACACAGCAGCATGTTAGCAGAAAGTGGCTGTACCTCGTCTGGCTGTAATTGCAAACACAGCAAAACAGCCCAAAAGACTGAAAACTGAGGAGGAGGAGAGGGAACTAAAGCAAAAAAATTATCAAAGAAGAAATCAAGCCCAGATGAATATAGCTAGCTTACATTTGGACAAGAAAATAACGGTAATCTTTCAGTTAAATATGTTGTTAGTGCGTTGCTTTTGTACCATTTCATCAGGGATTGTTCTACAGCTCACATGTAGTTGTGCTAATGTTAGCATATGTATGAGATCACTAAAAACTAGATGGCTCTGTGGGATAGGGGAGAGTAGAAGGGTTTCTCCAAATGAGAAGCTTGTGAGCGAGTTGGGGGCAAAGCTTAACATTCAAACTGAAACCCTTGCAGAAACAGGTATAGCTCCTTTAAGAATAGAAAAAAGTTGATATTGTTGGCCTTTCTGGGATAAACAAAGCAATTGAAAAACATAAGCCCATGTAATGCACCCACAGTTTCTTGGTAAATTCCCATGACACATTTTTGTTATTTAATATGTTTTTATGGGAATAAGATGAACAGATTTTTCTCAGGGTTGACATCGTCTGTAACCTTGCTTTTGCGCGGCTCCCAATAGTCAATTCGAGAAAAATGAAACGGGAAGAAGTGTGGTTTATTGAATTTAAAACATTGTGAAGCTGAAGGTAAGAGAAGGTTAGAAATACAACCTAAAGTTAAAAAAGACAGATTGTAAGTAAAGCTACATATGAAAGCAATTTGCAGGGAGAAGTATGGTAACTTTAACACTGTCCTCTCTCGTTTAAATGTCATCAGCTGTCGCCTGTTCATTGCTATTCACCCTGGATCTACGGCCTCAGTCCCTGGATCTACGGCCTCAGTCCCTGGATCTACGGCCTCAGTCCCTGGATCTACGGCCTCAGTCCCTGGATCTACGGCCTCAGTCCCTGGATCTACGGCCTCAGTCCCTGGATCTACGGCCTCAGTCCCTGGATCTACGGCCTCAGTCCCAGGATCTACGGCCTCAGTCCCAGGATCTACGGCCTCAGTCCCAGGATCTACGGCCTCAGTCCCAGGATCTACGGCCTCAGTCCCAGGATCTACGGCCTCAGTCCCAGGATCTACGCCTCAGTCCCGGATCTACGGCCTCAGTCCCTGGATCTACGGCCTCAGTCCCTGGATCTACGGCCTCAGTCTACGCCTCAGGGTCTACAGCCTCAGTCCTGGTCTACAGCCTCAGTCCTGGATCTACAGCCTCAGTCCTGGATCTACAGCTCAGTCCTGGATCTACAGACTCAGTCCTGGATCTACAGACTCAGTCCTGGATCTACAGACTCCCTGGATCTACGGCTCAGTCTACGGCCCACCTGGATCTACGGCCTCAGTCCTGATCTACGGCCTCAGTCCCAGGATCCTATCTACGGCCTCAGTCCCTGGATCTACGGCCTCAGTCCCTGGATCTACGGCCTCAGTCCCTGGATCTACGGCCTCAGTCCCTGGATCTACGGCCTCAGTCCCTGGATCTACGGCCTCAGTCCCTGGATCTACGGCCTCAGTCCCTGGATCTACGGCCTCAGTCCCTGGATCTACGGCCTCAGTCCCTGGATCTACGGCCTCAGTCCCTGGATCTACGGCCTCAGTCCCTGGATCTACGGCCTCAGTCCCTGGATCTCTACGGCCTCAGCTCAGCCCTGGATCTACGGCCTCAGTCCCTGGATCTCTACGGCCTCAGTCCCTGGATCTACGGCCTCAGTCCCTGGATCTACAGCCTCAGTCCTGGATCTACAGCTCAGTCCTGGATCTACAGCTCAGTCCTGGATCTACGCTCAGTCCTGGATCTACAGCTCAGTCCTGGATCTGGATCACGGCCTCAGTCCCTGGATCTACGGCCTCAGTCCCTGGATCTACGGCCTCAGTCCCTGGATCTACGGCCTCAGTCCCTGGATCTACGGCCTCAGTCCCTGGATCTACGGCCTCAGTCCCTGGATCTACGGCCTCAGTCCTGGATCTACGGCCTCAGTCCCTGGATCTACGGCCTCAGTCCCTGGATCTACGGCCTCAGTCCCTGGATCTACGGCCTCAGTCCCTGGATCTACGGCCTCAGTCCCTGGATCTACGGCCTCAGTCCCTGGATCTACGGCCTCAGTCCCTGGATCTACGGCCTCAGTCCCTGGATCTACGGCCTCAGTCCTGGATCTACGGCCTCAGTCCCTGGTCAGTCTACGGCCTCAGTCAGTCCTGGATCTACGGCCTCAGTCCCTGGATCTACGGCCTCAGTCCCTGGATCTACGGCCTCAGTCCCTGGATCTACGGCCTCAGTCCCTGGATCTACGGCCTCAGTCCCTGGATCTACGGCCTCAGTCCCTGGATCTACGGCCTCAGTCCTGGGTCTACAGCCTCAGTCCTGGGTCTACAGCCTCAGTCCTGGATCTACAGCCTCAGTCCTGGATCTACAGCCTCAGTCCTGGATCTACAGCCTCAGTCCTGGATCTACAGACTCAGTCCTGGATCTACAGACTCAGTCCTGGATCTACAGACTCAGTCCTGGATCTACAGACTCAGTCCTGGATCTACAGACTCAGTCCTGGATCTACAGACTCAGTCCTGGATCTACAGACTCAGTCCTGGATCTACAGACTCAGTCCTGGATCTACAGCCTCAGTCCTGGATCTGGATTTGTCATTACTGCATTTTCTGTGTTCAAACTATTTGATTCTCTGATCTATTGTTGGCGAATCGAGACGACAGCCATTATGATTTTTAGCTAACACAAATAAATTGAATATGTTTTTATCAGTGTGAGTCTCTACAGCAGATTTGAATAAACTAAAGTGAAATTTGACTACAGCATCCACATGTATTCCTTCTAAATCACACTGGATGGCAGCCCGAGAAAACACAGCCCCAGCTTTCAGAATCTCAACATGACACACATTTATCATGACTTCTAGCCACTAATGAAACACAGAGTCACATTTCAAACTAATATTGAAGATATTGGACATAAATGCAGACGCAGGCACAACCAAAGCAGTTTCGTCACATGCACCCAGCAGCTTATCGGCCTAATGGACGAAAGCGGATTATTACCCACAAAACAAGGATCGATATTGACATGCAGCACACTACACAGCAGAGTATAGAAGCATGTGGGCAGCTGTGCTTTAAAGCCATATTAACACAAATGTATTTAAAAAGAAAAAAAAGGCCTACCACTTCTCTGCTCTGCGTTTTTCCCATAGACTGTAAATAGTCACGCCTATCTCCACCTTTAAAAATAATGTGCCACAACTTTTGCCTTCTATGGGGCTTTTTCAAAATGGCCGCGGGTATCCCCTGCCGCGGGAAAATGTGAAAAAAAAAACGCATTTAACGAGTGCATTCTGAAGTCCACAGCGGCAAAACTAGACTGGTCCAAAAACATACACTCCCCTCAGCATTAACAGCATCTGGAGTAGCTTTGGACCAAGAGCGACTTTTGGACCATCCAGTAAAGAGGAAAGAAGGTGCCATACAAAAGCATTGGATAATTCTCTTTCCGGGTACACCCTCACCGGCCCGGGGTGGCATTGCAAGTACGTCAGAGCACATGCTCGCGGACGTTTTTGAGTCGGGACCTGCCCCCACTGGTTTTCTCCCATCGCTGCAGTACGGCAGATTGACTAAACACATGCGGCTGGAACGCAAACCCATGCCTCCATCAATGCACGTCCATGCATTGACGGTGGGAACGCTGCTTTAGAACCGTTCTTTGCAGATGCAGGAGGGTCTAAGGACAGTGGTAATGTTCCAGGACAATCAAAATGGACATTGGTCTCTGCCCAATATGGACTAATGGTTCTATGTGTTTTTATCATTGCATTTCCTGTGTTTGACCCGTTTGATTCTGTGATCTGTGTTGGCGAATCAACAGCTTTGTAAAGTTCTTAGAGATAACTTGTGATTTAGGGATATACATAATGTAATTTGAAATGGACAAAGAATACAAATCTCTTCTCAAACAGACGCAGTAAAAGACTTTGAAGGTCCAAACATTATCTCCCAAAGGCTTGTGTACCAGCTCCCACCATTAATAAAAGATATGTTGTTCTGTGTATTTGTTCAGTGTACCTAAATAATTCAAAAGTGGATTATTCAGGGATAAACGATTAAAATATAAATCAATGCAAACATTCCTTCATCTTAAAATGTTGCACTTTCGAGGTGATCGATGCAGCCTTGGGTCTGTGTTTTGAGAAATAAAATGGTATAGAATCCAGGCCTAGCCTACCAAGGAAGTTTTGCCACATGTAAAAATAAACTTATGACACACCTCCGTGAACACATACTGCTGTTATATAAAGTCTCTGGAAGGTCTCTGGCCAAAGAGACGCTGCAGAGCTGCATTATTGGAGAAGAACTACTTTACACAAAAAGCAGCTAGCATGATAAGATAAGATAAACCTTTATTAGTGTCACAGTGGAGAAATTTCAGTGTCATCGTTGCACACATTACAGCAGAGAAAGGAAACAAGAGCACTCAGATTGCACACATCAAAGTCTATTATTTAAGATAATAGACAATAAATTTAAGATAAAATAAAATAAAATAAGATAAACTCTGGGCTATAATTGCACT